CTTGTATTTGTATAATTAGAATTCTCAAAGCAGAAAGACGTAGGCAATAAATATTTAAAGATTTAAAATTTCTGAATTTAGTTGAACTTATAACACCACATTTCTAAGAAAAATGAACCTTTTGCACAAGAAATTTGAATAGGGGACTGGGGAGATGGCTCAGTGGAATAAACGCTTCCCGGGCAAGTACAAGGACCTGAGTTCAATCCCTGGTTCTGGAAAAAAAAATTTGAATAAAATCATACCCAGATATACAAAAATGAAATTGTCCAAAAGTTTTTTATAAAGAAAAAATCATTAAAGCATATACATGAAAAATTAGCTATGGAAGAACAAAGTTAAATAGCATCTTATTCCACATTAGGAAAAAAAAAAAAGAAAAAGAAAGACCAAGTGAGTAAGAAACTACACTAATTAAAGTACTGAAAGAAAGGAAGAAAACAGATCTGTCCTCTTTGAATTTTATACTTAGTAAACATACCTTTGAAAACTAAAAGTAAAATGTTTTCCAGTTATGCAAACTCAAAATATTCTAATACCATCAGACATAGCATATAGGAAATAACCAAAAGCATATATCAGAAGGCAAGAGAAGTTGCTGTATGCTCCTGGATGAAGAATAAAGAGTTCTCAAAATGATAGTTATGCAGGACTATGTAAAATATATTAGATGAACCCATTTAAAAGGTCATTAAAGATTTCTATGAAACAGTATCAATTTTATGTTGAGTTATACACATATCTTTTTCATATATATATGTGTGTGTGTGTATATATATATAAAAGATAGGGAAGAAGTAATATAAAGTCAATGGAAAATACAAATATACTTTGTAAAGTTTCTATTACTAGAAGAAAATATATCATGTCTTTTAAGTAGATTGTAAGTCAAATATACAGTATATCTTAAAACAAAAATTAGGTTTAAGCAATTCAGAATATTAAATACTAATTAAAAACTAAATGTTTCAGAACAATTGAACTAAGAAAAAGTTTACATGATAGTAAAGAATTATTAAGAATAAAACATAAGATAAATACTGTAGTGACAAATAAATGACCAGCACTTCTAACAGTTTGGGGATAGGACATGGCACAAAGTTCTAGTGTGTTGTGGACATGGATAGTGTCCATAACATTTATTGATGGCCAAGTTGAGCTACTGCTATTTCCTTGATATCCACCCTGTAGACCCAGATGGAATCATGATCGATAGGATGCAGAAGTCCATTTGTAGAGTATGCTGATGGAAATATCTTTTTTCCCCCATAATTTTATTGAGAAACAAATAGCAATGAGACAGTTTCAAATAAAATTGGTA